ATATATATATATATACATGCACACACGCGTGCACACATTTAAGAAGAGAGTGAGAGAATTTGCCAATGTACTCTTCAAAGTATAGATAAAAGAAGATTCAGTGTGTGTGGATGAGAATGGCAGAAAAGGGAAGTCCGAAATGAAATGTTTTAAAAAAATAAAACATAAGTGGCATTAACAAAATTGATGTACTAAGAATAATTAGATTGTGAATCAACCAAAGAAATCTTTAAATGTTGATTCTACTTTTATATATAAAATCTTTTCAAATTGATCTCAATGGCTGATTCTTGATTATTTGTTCCTACCATCTCAGGTTTCTGAGTGTCAATCCCCAATGCCTTCATCTCCTGTGAGTCAATATGACAGTACAGATCTTGGTGATTTCCAAGGGTCCTTTGAGGTGACAGTGACAGACTTGCTCCCGTACACAGACTACATTGTTCATGTGCGCGCTTATAATAGAGAGATCGGTGGAGGTGCGGACAGAGAGGTATCTTTCAAGACAGGCGAGGCTGGTAAGAATACTTTTGAAAAGACATGGGTACATGATGATGTCATTCTTGTGATCTTATCTGCTGGAGTGACTGTGTGTTTGGACTTTTTCACTTGCCAATATACATTGTATTGTAAAAGTGACGTTTCTTTTATGGAACTGTTTTTGTCACGGTTTTGTTTTTCGGCTAGAAATAAATTGAATGCCATAACGGCCTGTATACGTGGTGCTGTCCAAGAAAAGGAAAGTCTGTGTGGTGATAGCTTTCCTTTTACATCGATGTTCACTTGTTGTCTCTGTTCACTTGTTGTCTCTGTTCACTTGTTGTCTCTGTTCACTTGTTGTCTCTGTTCACTTGTTGTCTCTGTTCACTTGTTGTCCCTGTTCACTTGTTGTCTCTGTTCACTTGTTGTCTCTGTTCACTTGTTGTCTCTGTTCACTTGTTGTCTCTGTTCACTTGTTGTCTCTGTTCACTTGTTGTCTCTGTTCACTTGTTGTGTACTCAGCTTTGTCATCATGTTTCCAGCCCAGCAGCAAATACAAAACAGTAACACGTGTTGAATCAGAAAACGGTAAAAAATCGACATCCTCTTATTAGCTACATGAAAACCTCTTAAATTTCTTAAATAGAATATTCTTTGATTTTAAAAAGAAATTATTCCCAAGAGAAACGTGCGAATGCCAGTCGAGCTTGTTATCGATTGTTATTTCTAGATATTTATAGGAATTTACCACCTCCACCTCTTCATCTTTAATAAATAGTGGTTGCAATTGGTCTTTTTTTACTCTAAAGTCTAATATTAATTCCTTTGTCTTTTTTACGTTTAGTATAAGGAAGTGGTTATCACAGCAGTTTGTACATAGATTCACAGCGTCCCTGTATTCATTCTCATTTGTTGTTATAAGGCCTTGTAGAGTGGAATCATCCGCAAATGTTATTAGTTTGATTTTTGTTGTTGTCAAAAGTACAGTCGTTGGTGTAGAGCGTGAACAAGACAGGGGAGATTACACAGCCTTGGGGCGCACCGGTGTTCGTGAATATTCGATCTTTTCCACATTGTCCGGTACAGTCCCTGTAAACACAGATTGAATCTGTCGAAACCTTTTGCTTGGTTCTGTTATGTCAGTCCTGTGTGAAAAAGAAAACAAACTGGCTGCACAAGAAAAGTTTGTCTTAGCAGTTTTAGAGCACAAATTTGTGTGTTGAGATGACTCTGTCAACATGTGAACGGTTTCTCTTCAGGAGTTTGTTGTTTATAGTAGTAGTGTCCTTCTTGTTTTTCTCTCCGTGTGAACACACGGTACTCGGTGCCCCCACCAAATAAATTGTAAAGTCCTTAGGTCCATGTGAATAGAATTAATTCATGTAGTTCCATCTGGTAGGTTTATTCGATAATATCGTTATTGATACCACCAATAAACTCTGGCGCAGATTTCCGTACCCTCGTTGCGACAGTGTGTTGTTGGCACTCATGAAAACATTTTTATAATTTATAAAACCTTTTGTTCTACGAAATTAAGGCATTTTATACTACATCTTCACAAATGTTGTGGACACGTTTAAATAAAAGTTATTGTCTCACTATAAGTTTATGACGCAAATCTCTGTACCAACACTGTGACTGTGTGGTGTTTGCACTCTTGAAATCATCTGTATAAAATATTTTTGTAGTAAAAAATGGCAGAAGTTTATACTACAGATTCACGAATGCTGTGGGCACATTTAAATAAACGTTACTATCCCATTCTAAGTTTATGACGCTAAGTAAGCCCACATACTCCCTGTCTCCTGTTTCGTGTAAGTTACAGCATGCTAATAGAACTAAAATATTCCTCTGAAAGTTTTCATTGTACCAAAAGGTCTTACTTTTTTTTCCTTCTCTATGCTTCTTTTTTCTTCTTTTTTTCCCCTTCCTCCTCTCTATTCCTTTATTGGGATAAAACGAGGGTAATTTTACTTAAATGTTTGCATATTTGTATGCATTTAATATCTGTTGTTGGTAGGTCTTTTTTACCTACAGATACCAATGTATGACATTTCTTTAAATATTATTCAAGTCTTTTCTATTAGTGACCTACTGTTAGCTTTGTACCAAACTTTTGTCTTTCTCGTCTTAGCCGCAAGCCCTGTGACAAAAGTTGAGCTGGAAAGTCTACCCTTGACCGCTCAAGGAAGGCTGGATCTGAAAGTTAGCTGGGTCCCAGGTTATCGGAACGGGGAAACTACCTTCACTGTTGTGATCAAGGAAAAAGAAAGTCTCACCTCCGAAAACTTTATTGTGAAACAAACCAGAACATTTCAAGGTAGAAAATAGTTGTTTTCGGGTTGGGTTTTGTGGGGGTCTTTTACTGTAGATCTACGTGTTGTTGTTGTTATTGTTGTTGTTGTTGTTGGTGTTGTTGTTGTTGTTGTTGTTGTTGTTGTTGTTGTTGTTGATGTTGGTGGTGGTGGTGGTGGTGGTGGTGGTGTAGTGATGTGTTAACTTTTGACTTTACTGTCCGTGTCATTTTTGGTCCAGTGACGTGTATACTCTGTTCATGTTGCTGTTGTTGTTAAAATGTTATTATTGTTGTTGTTGGTTTAGTGACGTGTACACGTTTTTCATGTTGTTGTTGTTTTTATTAGTTTTCTCGTTGTGGGATATCAACCCGATGACCAAATTATGACACGGACAGTAATGAAGGCTATGAGGACTAGATCTATAATGTAGGCTAATATAGTGTTTTCTTTCTGTTGGTAAACATGTTTCTCTGCTGTAGGTTTTTTAAAAGCTAGCAGTATTTTTATCAGGCAAATATGAGGTTATGTTGGGAGTTGAGATTCAGTACAAGTCAATCCTCAAGTGATGTTATAATTTTATTTCTTTTCACAGATGCATTTGGCGTTACCTCTGACTCTGTGCAAATTAGATAATATAGAACAGGAAATGGACAGGATGAAGCTAAATATGTTAGGCCTTTCAGAAGTTAGATGGGAGGGGGCAGGCTTGATGAAAAGAGAATCCAAAACAATTGTATACTCAGGAGGAAAAACCCCTGAAAGAGGAGTCGGAATTTTATTTGACGAAGCAACAGCAAAGAGCATCAAAGGTTTTTGTGGAGTGTCAGATAGAGTCATCGTGGCTAAATTAGAAGGGGAACCTTTTGACATAGGTGTCATCCAAATATACGCACCAACATCAGAGCACGACAACGAGGAAATTGGCACTTTCTATGAAGACCTTGATAAGGCAAAGAAACAGTTAAAATCACAAGATGCAAAGATAGTCATGGGAGACTTTAACGCTAAAGTAGGAAGTACACGTATAGAAGATATAGTTGGGCCATGGGGACTGGGTAGAGAGAATGAACGCGGGGAACGACTGGTAGAGTGAGGCAAGGATGTGTTATGTCACCAGACCTCTTTAACATGTACAGTGAAACAATCCTTAGAAACATAGAAGAATGTCCAGGCCTCAAAGTAAATGGAGAAAATATTAATAACATCAGGTATGCAGATGACACGGTTTTAATAGCAGGCTCAGAAAAGGACCTTCAATTGCTTCTAGATACTGTTGTAACAGAAAGTGAACGTAGAGGATTAGTGTTGAATGTAAAGAAAACAGAGTGCATAGTAATATCCATAAAAGCAGCAAATCCTAGTTGTAATCTCATTAGCAAAGGTGAAAAGATCAAACAAGTTCAACAGTTTAAATATCTAGGATATATGATAACATCTGATGCAAAATCTTCCGCAGAAATAAAAAGGAGAACTGCAATGGCTAAGGCTAGTTTCAATAAAAATGAGCCCAATCCTGAAAAATAGAAACATATCAATGAACACCAAAATGAAAGTCCTGAAATGCTATGTTTGGTCAACCCTTCTATATGGCTGTGAATGCTGGACAATCACTAAAGACAGTGAAAATAAAATAGAGGCAACAGAAATGTGGTTTCTTAGGAGACTGCTGAGAATATCGTGGAAGGAAAAGAAATCAAATGAGGTAGTGCTTGATGAAGCCCACGTGGGACGCTCAATGTTAAAAACAATCAGGAAACGACAAATGCAGTTTTTGGGACACCTGAATAGACATAAGGGTCTTGAACATCTAGTTCTCACTGGCAAAATTGAGGGCAAGCCAGGCAGGGGTAGGCCCAGAACAAAATACTTAGGGAACCTAAACAAATGGATAACAGGGAAAGATCAGGGAAACGTAGCTTTTCTGAGAGCATCCGAGCAAAGGAATTGATGGAGAACCATGATCGCCGATGTCTGTCGCAGATCTGGCACTGGATGATGATGATGAAATATGAGGTAATGTTGGGAGTTGAGATTCAGTACAAGTCAGTCCTCAAAGTGTTGTCATAATTTTATTTCTTTTGACAGATGCATTTGGCATTACCTCTGACTCTGTGCACGATGTGCTTGGCCACTGGGTCTATCAAGTGACCGTTAAAGCCAAAACTAACGTGGGTGACGCTGCTGTATCAAGTCCTCAGACCATTACAACATTAAACAAACGTAAGTTAATGAGAAACGTGTCACAGAAAGTGCATGCATGGAATTATACTAACATATTGGAGTCCTGATGGTCTGTGTATTTTTGTATGTTTTAGTATGTGTGTGTAGGGGGGGGGGAGGTGGAGGGGAGGGGGCACGCATGCTAATTTATGTGCGAGTGTGGCTGCTTGCTCTTTCAAGCTGAATCAATTTTGACCATTGGTATAAGGATTAGTGTGTACATTCGTGGTAGTGTTTTTTAAAACTGTTTTTCTTTTGGCTCCAGGGAGGGGGGGGGGGATGTTCGACTGTGAACTTTGTTGTATCACAAATTGATAGTTTTTTGCTGTCTGGCCTTCCCTATAGATTCTGTGAATGTGATGTAAATAAGTAAGTAAGTTCATTCAGTGTTTAAGGCCATTGGCCCACATCACATCGCATAAACCACCCATTTGATAAATAAAGTTTCCATAATAAATAAGTACAGGTTGTGCACATATCTCTTACCATTGGTCAAACATTGCATATTTCTGTCACTGGGCCTAGTCAGGCTGGGAGGGATTAACAATTTCCTTTGATGGACAAAGTGTGAACAATAGAAAATAAAGTGAAATTCATCTTCAATTTCATGAGAGTTACACCGATAGAGATTGTTATTTAATGGAAGGCTATGGGTTTTTAACAAAGCTATGGCTCTTCTGCTCCAATATCGTGGGAAGTTGGTGATATATTCAGCTGTTTCTTGAAATGGAATTGAAAGAGAGAAAACATTATACTTGCGACAGACTTCTTCCTCTATGTTTTGCACAGAATGATCAACAAGTCTACTTTTTACTTCACTGAGAAAGAGTCTAGTACTTCCAACAATTTGAGAAAACCTAGACATATCCAAAACCCAGGGAAAACAATAGGTTTTTAACTTCCGTAGCCCATATTTAGTATTGGGTCCTCATACCCAACCCAGCGTGTCCCCGGGTGGAAAGGCCTCCAGGTATGGAGGTTAGCTGCTAAGCAGTCGCGAACCAAATGGGAGATAGTCGTGGAGAGTAGAGGGGAACCCTGGTGGCACAGGTGCTTCAAGAAATACCTCACACACTCGACGAAGGGACCATCTTGGCGACGGTAGGCGCCATAAATCCTACCAAAGCCCCACTGCCTTGTGGGTTGTCAGTGGATGACAAAGGCTAGCAGAGACAACTGTACACAAACCCGCAGCAGGCAACGGGAAACCACTGCTGTAATCCCAAGAACAGTCACGGAAAAGTACATTCATTCATCAAATAACAGCGTTAAGGGGGTTCATGATCCAGCTCTGAACTCCCCGCTCGGTAGGCACCACCACGGGCAGCAGGTGGCGCCCGATCGTCATCCAGCTACTGGCTGCAAAAATAAGCAACTTAACATAAAAATCATCCAAGAAGACGATACACTTGGAAGAGTCCTGGCGATAGAAGTAGAAATCAAATAGACTTTTTCAGAAACGTTGTAGACATAAGGGTCTTGAACATCTAGCTCTCACTGGCAAAATTGAGGGCAAGCGAGGCAGGGGTAGGCCCAGAACAACATACTTAGGGAACCTAAATAAATGGGTAACAGGGAAAGATCAGAGAAACGTAGCTTTTCTGAGAGCATCCGAGCAAAGGAATGAATGGAAAATCATGATCGCCGATGTCTGTCGCAGATCTGGCACTGGATGATGATGAGCCCAGTTGACTCTGCCCAGTTCACAGGAACGATATAATTGCACGTAACATTTCTTTGGATATCTGTCATTTTGTAAGTGTATAAGTCAGCACCAGAATTTAAAGACACAATGCATGGAATCAGAACACAAGTTGGTTCTTCCCACTTCTTTTAGAACTAAACATTTGGCTGTAGTTTTTCCAAGACCCAAAAAGGTTTTCCAGAACTCTACCAGAACATTATCAATCACGTCACAATTTTTGGTACCCCAAATTTCAGAGCCATAAAGCAGCATTGGTTTAATCTTTACATCAAAAATGTTTTTTGCTGATTCGAAATGTAATTCTTGGTAAGAACCGAAAAGCTTTCTTGTTGGAGAAACAATCCGTTGAGCTTTACAAGCTCGATCTTCCAGCCTTCGTCTCGAGCATAGACGCGACGAAAATGAAATGCCCAAGTAACTATAGTAGGTTGCTGTCTCTAAGATCTTATCCTGCCAATACCATCTCTCAGATCTTTTGGGATAGCCTCCATTTCTAAAAACAACAATCTTACTTTTCCCCGTATTCACTTTTGAACCCCACGTCTGGCAGAAATCATGTAACTCATTGATTTTCTTTTGTAAACCTCTGACATTGTCGACAAAAAGACATAGGTCATCAGCATACATTCAACATAAAATACCATCATTATCATTGGGCAATACCTGGATATGATGAGTATTTGATTCTGAAAGGTGTTCTTCCAATTGAGATATATAAACAAAGAAAATAACGTAGGGCTAAGTATGCAGCCTTGTTTGACACCTGGTGTATCATGTACATAGAAGTATTCAGTAATAGAAGATTTCATGGATCCTCGTTCATCTGAACAGACTTTAACACATGAAAGAACACTTTGATACATATTTGTCACAATGGTATACATTGGTCCAGAACAGCCAAGACTTCTCAATACTGTCCAAAGCTTTTCTCTGTAAACCCAATCAAATGCTTTAAAAAAGTCGACAAAATATACGTAGAACCTTCCGCCAGGCTTGGAGATTAATTTTTGGACAAAAGATTGTGAATGTGATGATGGCTTATCGTCGGAAGTTCTTTTTGTAGAGCTTAAGATACAATAAAAGCTCTTGAACAGTTTAAAAACGGAAAAATGAGCATTGTCTTTTATGTACGTTTGTACTGAAGTTTTTTAAAAAACTTACAAAAAATAAAACATTTGCACTCAGTGCAAAACATATCTTGTTGATTTTTCTTGTTTTTGTTTTGTTGTTGTTGTTGTTTTTTCGACTCCTGGGTCTAAGTTTTAAATATTTTCTGCTTTATCTTTAGAAGCACTGCCAGGCCAACATGGACAATTTCCCGTCTTTGTTAAACCCATACGTTCTTATTTCCCACAGACCCAGAACCTGTTACTGCTCTCACGTTGACAAAGAGTACACAGGTGGCCTCTGAAGTCTCCCTGAGCTTTGGATGTCCCGAGGAAAGAGAAAGAAATGGTGTCATCACAGGCTTTTACATTTCAACGTCGGACGGCACTTCGAACCTAGTAAGCACATATTTTATAAAAATAAATATACATTTAAAAGTTTTTCCTCTTTGTGCACGGTCTTCTTTTTTTATAATAATATGCTTTAATATTTTGAGTCCTTAAGATCTTTATGAAAACAGTTTCACGTCTATACGAATAATTCTCCTTCCCTTTCTCTTTGATCTACTTCTTTCTTCAGTGTTGTTCAAACGTAATTCTTGGAAGAATTTGTACAGATCATTGACATGGCTGCAGTGGTGGGTTTTGCTTTTTAGAAGAAAAAAAGCAATTACTTCAAATAACATTGCTATTGATAAGATAATATGGTAAGATACATGTACATCTTTATTGACCTGATCCTGGCACATTGGTTTGGTGTTTCACCACGTACACACCTACACACACACACACACACACACACACACACACACACACACAAACACATACATACACACACACACATAGACATACACATGTGCACACCCATATACACACACACTCTTTCCTCACACATACTCTCTTCCACACACATCTGTGCACATAACCATAATATTTATACAATAGTATGCTTGCACTCACAGACAGGCTCACAGTCACATGCATAATAATAATATAAATGAACAGTATTATGAACTTTACTTGTGTTAGGTAGATACATATTTACTATTTTGATTGTAACTCAATAAAAATAATAATATTATGATGTTATGTTTGCAGTCCCTATCTCCCACATGTTACATTCCCCACTCAATACATTTTGCACTGAATTCAAATTTACTTTCAATCAGTCTTATGTCGAAGTATATTCTCTTTATCTCTAGGCTCTGAATTTCAGGCGTAGATTTCTTGATACTTGCACCAGAGCTTTGATGTTGCATGACACTGAGGATTTATTTACAGTTGTTGTCCAATTGGAGTAGTTTTTCGTTGTAAGGTGCATTTCTGTGCCCTGTTGATATAGAGTGTATTGAGCCCAGTTAATAATTGGGGAGCGGAAGCTATGGAAATCTCTTTATACAATTATTTTTTTAAAACGTAGTAGTAGTAGTAGTAGTAGTAGTAGTAGTAGTAGTAGTAGTAGTAGTAGTAGCAGTAGTAGTAGTAGTAGTAGTAGTAGTAGTTGTAGTAGTAGTTGTAATAGTTATTATCATAACATCATTGTTGCTGTTATTAACCCTGAGACTTCAACTTGGGAAGCTACATTGAGAGTGATTTGATTAATAACCTGCATTTAAAGGATTTGGGGCATCATAGAAGGTTAACAAGGGGTAAATTTAGACATTTTGGTACAGTTTTACCACAATTGTTTTCTTTTTGACTCTTTACTGGATCATTTAGGGGTCTCGGGTATCAAAATCATTACATAACAAAGAAGGTAATATCTCCACTATCCTTTGTGGAAACTTCACAAAACTGCATGTATGCATTGATAATACCCTGTGGCATGTATGTATAACAGGGTTTTACTGTAGATTCATTATTTTTTTGACAGAGGTGGACGAAGTAAGTGCTCTGCTAGTCGTTTCAGCATTCACACTTTTTTTCAAATTTCCCCCCCAAAACAGCAATGTAACTCATACAAAAATTGAATTACTATCAAATCCTGTTATCAGAGCATAGCCATGGCACTTGTGAAAGTGTGTGCCAAATTGCAAGACAATCTGACTATTGGTTTCTGTGAAATGGCCTTCTTTGTAAACCCACCCCACAAGAACTGAGAAAACGAGGAAAAAGTACAAAAATGCAAGAAATTGAACATCACAGGAACATTTGTTACTCCAATCTTGCAAATGAGTAGAGTACATCCATTCACTGCTAGATTAACAACAAAAAACTAACAACAAGCAACATAAAATGACTTCACACTACATGCATTTTGGTACTTAATGTTGAAAATATAATCCAATTTAGAAACCGCCAGCAGAGTACTGCTCTCCACCTTCTGCTTCGATAAGCCGCTGTTCCCCCCGAAGTTGCGCTGTTCTCCTGATGTCCCTCCTTCTCTTTTCCCTCCTTCTCTTTGCAACACTTTCATTAGCTTTTTCTGCCTTCCGTTTTCGAATAGAGTCTCTCTGGCCACACTTTTTGGTATTGACGCCAATGGTGAGTCCAAGTTCTTGTGTTGCCCGAGCGCCTTGGTTGAACTCACCCACTCCAAATCCTACTGCAATTTCCAACCTCTGTCGGTCAACGAAAACATGCTTGGGACACCGCGCCCAGATGACAGAGTGAACACTTTCATTGGCGTTTTGAGTATTTCCACCTATGCATCTGGACAACAGCTCGTCATCAGTCAGGCGGGTGTAGACAGGAATCATGTGCTCCCCAACAAACTCACTTATAAAAGTCGACATGTACTTGTCATGGTCAGGGTGCAGCAACCCCTTGGCCCTTGCCTTCTGAAAAAAACACCAGGATTCTGTACCTGTAGGGCAATCGTCGTGACGTGGTTTGGTGTGTGTCGATGAGCAATGGTAAAAAGAAGTCCAGATTGCCGTCTTCATCTCAGCCACAGTGCTGTGTGAACGAACAGCTCTGGTGTAGTACTTCTGGAGCTTCCCGATCTTGGCCTGAATCAGCTTGCCCTTTCCATGCCCCCCGAGGGTAACCTTCACCTTCTTCTTGTCCTCTACAAGTTTTCTAAGGGCCGTTCCAAGGCGCTTGGCGACGTGGTTCACGCACTCTTTCTTTTCAACTCTGACGTCGGCGTATGGTTGGACTTCATTTATCTGCTTGATCGTATTTGTATCACCATCGCTGACCGCACTCCGGTAACGGAAGCCCCTCTGTTCTGACCTCTGCCACAACATGACAGCCGCTTTCAGCTCCATACTGCCGGACAAGCCAGTGTGATTACGGTCACACTCATCCTTGTGAGCAGTCCAAAATCGCTCATACGCCTCCCCTTCCAGGTGTGCGCCGACCGCCTTACACTTGTGGCAGTGTTTGCTCAACACTTGAAAGTCAATGACGAGGCCAGTTCTGTTTTCTAAGACGTAGCCGACTCCTGAATTCGAAGTGTGTCCCCGAGTGTGCCAACTGCCATCATAGGAAACTTCAATGTTCAGGACGGCATTTCCTTCCTGCTCCGGATATGCTCTAGCAATAGCATCACGAGTATCCAAAGGAATTTTATCCGAGCTGGCCACTGACTGCTGGTGAATTTTCTTTTGGTGATTCAGGTAAGTCTTGTGGTGGACAGTAGGCATATCCATGGCTTCACAAAATTTTGCCAGGCCAGAATAACCACTTCCATTCACCAAGTAGGACATAATGTTACGGCGATTCACAGTGAACACTTTGTCAGTTTTACCGGAGGTGTAGTTCACAGAGACGGCTTGCTCACAGGTTGTGCAGTAAATCTCCAGGAATACTGCTAGCCCGGATGTCTTCTTCGAATCACAGGTCAGTTTCAACGAAGCTGTCGTGCACTAGGGGCAGAGTAAATTCTCAAACAAAGGTCTCAGCGTTGCCATCTCAACAACAGTGGAGCCCAGAAACTCAGAGGAAGCACCGTGTCGTTCAGCGTTATAGGCCAGCTTGCGTGATGACGCAGAGAGTGGAGTGCTTGGTACAGGAAGAGACGGGGCGGCTTCAAGTATTGATGAGGACGAAGACAAAGACGAAGGTGGCGGAGACCCAGATGTTGACACAGCTGGTGGCGCAACTTGAAACTCAGCACTCAACTCATCTCGAGCTTTCTCAAACTGTCTTGCTGCTCGTGCCTTTTTCAAAGCCTCATTTCGGCTTTTAGAAGTTCGATCACGTTTACTCTCACTTCTTGAATGAGACTTTGTCGCAGGCATAGCGGACAATGGGCTGAGAAGGAAATAGAAAAAACATCTTCGTAAGTACAATAATATCAAAATCAACATACAGTTGCTCAGCAACTTCCATAACGCGCGACCACCCCAAGAAATACAATACAGGAGAGACCTAACCCTTACCCAACCCCTAACCCTACCCATACCCCAAATCCTAACCATCACTTGTCTCTGTTTCATAGTGGTAGCTCGTTACGGAATTCCTCCCGCAACGCTTTATGCCAACTTCCCTATCTTGATACATATTCCAAGATAGTCATTGCATACAGTACCTAACATCACAATGCTTGGGTGGTCTCACAGTAAGAAATCACTCTGAATCTAGATTCTAGATGTATGGATGGAGAATCTAACCTGCCAACTAGATCTACTAAATTTTTATACTAATAGTAATTTCCACTCTTCCGAACTACAGCACAAACATCACCTTATTTCATGGAGAAATAATAAAGCCCACAGTATAATCTCTAATTGGAATTCTAGATCTAGTCTACGTGCATAGCGCACACAAGACTCAACAATGCATCAATACGATAACACACTCACATCAAGTGCTCAACTCACAATTGTTGAATTGAAAGGCAGAGAGAAGATCGAGTCTGGGAGACAAGACAAGAAGTGGACAAACTGAGGCAATAGGAGAAACTCAAATGGGGAAACTAGGTATTAGACAGATAAAATTAAGATCTACATTGACATATATCATTATCAGAAGTGGTATTTTGACATTTTGACTTCGATATTCCGCGAGGTAGAGCAAAGACCACATGTAGACAAAAGCCATTCTCTGATTCTCTTTATTGTCGATAATCATCAACTTGTGGAAAGAAATTCTCAACAAATTTCAGGAATTGATCAATAAATCATATAATGTACGGATAGACTCATATATTTACTCACCTGAAAATGTGTTGTCACGTCTTGATATAAAAAAATAGCGTTGAGAACGTTGTTTTGCTGACAGCAGTTGAATGAGCGTCTCCCCCCCCCCCTTTTTTTCCCCCTCTTCCAACCCCCGCCACACCACATTTCACCAACTTTGAGCTTAAAATTCTCCTCTGTCCATTCTTTCAGAATATTCAGTTTGTCAACGCGACTTCCTGCGATAACGTGCCCCGACCAGCTGTACAAGTCGTTGTTGGCGAGAGTCCAACGGATTACACGTTCAAGGTAAGTGCAGGGAGCATGAAGATCATGTTTTCTTTTCTTCTTTTTAAAAATAATGTCGTCAGTTTGTCGAGAATGAGTGCCTGCTTCGCTGATTTCCTGCTCAAAAAAAAGTCTCAGATGTAAACGGCAGGATTTTTACACTTCGTTTGCCACTGACAATGATACTGTTATGACTTTTCATGCTTATCCTGATCCATTACCAATGACAGCTTTAGTCCTCATGACTAGCGTAGGCCACACTTAAAATGATGTCAAGACAGAACACGGACAGATCTGATGAATTTCACGGGCGCTAGTGTCCCTCGATCCACAGTGGCATTGCGTCTTCGGAAGTTAAATGATCTATTTGTGTTGCAAGTGCCGTAAACCTCTTACTAAAAATAACGAAAATGAGTGACGTGAGGAAGTATACAGACATGATTCAGATCCTGTTCCAAGCACATGCGGTCAAGGTCACAATGGTTCCGGTAGTTTTGACATAAAAATTGGTGAGAGAGATGTCAATCTAGAAATGCCTGACAGAGCTAACAGGAGGGCTGTCAACGAGTATTATGGGAAGGAAGGGGGGCACGAGTGTGGCTGAAGAAGGACCGACGTTGTAAATGATGAATGACAATGGCATGTTTTCGAGCCTGATGAGCAGATTAAATTGGTGCTCCTGATCAGCTGGGAACGAAAAACTCCAGAGAAAAGCCATGGGCTTTAATAGCAAGAAGACAGTTAGTAATAGCTGTAGCAGTCACAGTTTTGGCAAACATGTTATGTCAATACAAAAGTGTATGAGCGGAATAAGCTGTTTAATTTTACTGACACCAGTTTAATGCCAACAATAGAATGTCTTTCATGCTGTAATGTTTTCAGTTCTCCTCTGGTTTGTATTACATGCTGATTCAACTCTCTTCTAGTTTCTGTTTGTTCTATAAGTAATAATGGAGAACTCCTTGCGGAGGTACAGTCAAACCCTCATTAATGACCACAAGTCCAAAACAGTTACCTGCAAAAATATTCACTTCCTATTTCCCGCCTTGCCATTTTCTGAAATAATATTATTATAAGGGCCATTATGTCCAAGAGAATCATCTGTCTAAGATATGGACAGGTTCGACAGTGTTACGAACGGATTTTTTTTTTCTGCTTTCATTTTTAAAATGTTATTAAATTCTGCCATTTTCCAAAATAGCCACCAATGTCATGAGACTTTTCTTTTCTTAAAAAAGAAAATAAAACTTATATAAGTATGAAGCCAATCATACCATCTAAAGTTTTTGGAAGGTTTTTAGAAAACCCTGTGGATGCGGTGAGGGCATCAAAAATTCTTTGACTCAGAAAACAGTACTATTTATATGTTAAGTTAACATTTCAGAAGGAATCAAGAATTGTCAAGTAAAATTTTGCACCTTGTGATATAATTGGTTTAAATATCTAGGATATATGATAACATCTGATGTCAAATGTTCCACAGAAATAAAACGGAGAATTACAATGAGCCGAATCCTGAAAAATAGAAACATCTCAATGAACACCAAAATGAAAGTCCTGAAATGATATGTTTGGTCAACCCTTCTATATGGCTGTGAATGCTGGACAATCACTAG